CCCCGGCCGCACAGGGCCAGGGGGCCCGCGCAGGCACCGCCGCCGCCACCGCCGCGCAGGGCCCCAACCTACAGTATTATTGAATATTAGAACTCACTCCTCTATCTGGAGGTATTAATAATTTTGTATTTGTTAACTGATCTCTTCTTATTCTCTTCCCACCTACTTCCCCAGCCTCTAGTAACCACTATTCTCTCCTTCTATTAGGTCAACTTTTATAGTTTCCACATGTGGGAGAACATTGTCAACTTCAAATACTGAATATGTAAAGAACAAAAAGTTTTATTTGGGGTTTTAGGAAGTGCAATTCCAGAGACACACATTGGGTTAAAAGCAAAGAAGTGTTCTGAGAATGTAAGAGAAAATTAGAGATTATATTGGTAAAAAAAGTTATAAATCATTACAAGGTAGTTAACATTGTTTATTTAAAGAGGGACTTCTGCTGAATTTAGAAAGAAATTAAGGTGGAAGATAGGATAATGTATCTGGGCAAGAATGATGTCCATAAAATAAGAAACCAAAGGCATTTCGATGCACATCTTAAGATTCTGAATATAATGTAATTATCTGGTGATTCCAGATTCTTGGGGCCAACTGAGAATAATCACAGTTCACGTTTTTAGGCAACTACAGAAATGTGCATAAATCTTGCTTCCTTGATGGCCTCTCCACTCCACTTTAGATAGGGCTGTCTTCAGTTATTTATCTATTTGTACTTACCTCTTTCGATCAGTTTTTTTCTGCTTGAGAATCAATGATAATCAACCTCTAAACAAGTTATTTATGATGGATCCCATGCAGCTGGGAAGGCTCATTCCCAGGAAGTCATGTCCCATGGAGGAGAGAATCGAGGGAGGAAGAGAGAGAGAGGAAGAAAGGGTTTTAGTTTCATTTGAACAACAAGGTGGTGTTCAGGAAATAGAATTTATGCAATACCTCATGGTTCTGCATCAGGACATATCCAGTATGAATGTTTGATTCATCTATTCACTGTTAAACCATTATTTTGACAGAAGAAGTTAAATGATGAGTTACACATTGTAAACTTTATTTAAAATTCAAGCAATAATAAGGATAGCAAAAGACAATAATAATATCATTATTCAAGATTTTAAACAGTTAAATACTGATCCAAACCATCTTTTTAATAACACTCTTAAAGGGCTAGCAGATGGCATAGTGGTTACATCACTGGATTCCCACATGGCCGACTGCAGTTTGAGTCTCAGACCCGGAGATTGAAACTCATGCAGGTATGTGTGTGTTAGTGCCCAAGATTTGGGAAGCAGCATGGAGGAAAAGAGATTGCACAGTGGCCATTTTCTCCGGGGGGTGGGGGGAGGGAGTGATTTCTCACTTTCCCTCTCTGTCTCTTCTTTGGTGAGCGCATACTCCCTAAGGTAAAAAACTCAAAATAAATAAATAAATACATAAATCTCCCAAAAGAGGTATAGGAGTATTTAAAGCATTAATTTGTTCTTTTATATGATTAACTAGGTGGGTGATATTTGTTGATACATCAGGTATAAAGATGCAAAATTTCCGTTTGAATAATAGCACTACTGCTTCTGGAGAGGTGATAATATTGAATGCCAGGAGGTTTTCATAAGGCCAATTTTCTCTCCGAGGACACTTTAGTGTGTATCAAGCTTAATGTGAGATGACTATTATTTAAGACTTGATGGATAAATTTAGTCAAAGTTTGTGTGTGAATAATCAAGTCTTTGATCTCTAAAGAAGTGATTAACAGGGAACCAGCAGTTAGCGTAATGGCTATGTTGCTGGACTCCCACGTAGTCGACCGCAGTTCACATCCTGGACCCAGTGGCTTAAACTCACGTCGGGCGCGTGTGCATGCGTGCCCAAGATCCCGAGAGGAGAATGGAGGAGAAGGGATTGAGGCGTGACCATCCCCCCTGGGGGGTGATTTCTCGCTTTCTGTCTCTATGTCTCTCTCTCTCTGTCTGGCGAGCGCACGCGCCCTGTAGTGAAAACCTCAACAACAACAAAAAAGTGATTAACAGGGGGCTGGTGGTTAAGGGCTGGCTCTCATATGGCTGAGTGTGCCGTTTAAGTTCTGGACCTCACAGCTTGAAAAACATGTCAGGTGTGTGTGTGTGTGTGTGTGTGTGTGTGTACGCACGCGCGCGCACCCAAAATCCCAAAAGAAGAATGGAGAAGGGATTGTGGCATGGCCATATGCCCTGGGAGATGTTCTTTCACCCCTCTCCGTCCCCCACCTCTCGAACTCCCCTTGTTTTGCTGAGCACACACACCCTCTAGGCAAATTTTTCAAAAAAAGCAACGAGCACGGAAAGTAAATGCT